CACTACTACAGGATGAACCAATAGTAATACCTGACAAAATGGAAGACCCAGGAAAAGAAAATCAACTAGAAATTTCCCTTGAAGGAATCCCAACGAACGAAAAGTTGGAGCATGACGCATTCATCACAGATCAAAACCCAACCGACGAGGAAACGCCTTCTATAATCGGAGCTGAAACTCGAATAGAAGAAAAGCACGAAGAATCAAATCCCACACCACGTCCACCATTGGACATGGAACGAATGGAACGAAACCTGGAAAAATTCTACGAGTATATGGAGAAAATCTCGGAAAGGGATGAGGAAATATTCCAGGAACCCCTAGAGCCACTGCTAGACCAGCTACTACCACTTTACAAAATGAGGAGAACCAGTCTGGGTCCAGAATTTAAAGAAAAATTGAATGAATCCTGTCAAGAATTAGAGGAGAAGATGGCTGAGTTACAAAACCAGTCCAAACCCCTAATCGACTAAACCGACGAAATCTCAGAATTGACGAGCTCCACCGACCAAAATCCTGAAAAAACAGAGAAGGAAGAAACACCTCAATCCAGACATTTCGTGATATCGCAGCCAAAGGTCACACGAGAATCCTTACTGCCGACACCAAGGGCTATACAGTCACCCATGGCAGGATCTGCTCCGGAGAAGAAAAATTCTTCAACAGATCTAACCCCAAGAGAACTGTTCCCACGCACCGAAGCAATCCATCCATCAACGCACTCCAGAGAAGCGGAAATTCCCCAAGCCAACGAAGTTGCGCAACCGCCACCAGCACAGCTACCGGGGATGTAATTGAATCCATTCCCCAAATACCTGACCTTCCCACGAGCGAAGAGCACGGTTTCATACAGAACCAACAAGAAATATCCCAGAACAATCCGAATGAGGAAATTATGGACGACAAGATCATTATACCGCAAAGTGTCTACCAACCTGCGAGCAACATTAAAGAAACCCGAAATGGACTAACATTTACCAGGGGAAACATTGCTCATTTCCTCGCAGCAGATGGAGAGATCAAAAAGCAATACACCAAACTTTTAAGAAACCTCAACCTGATAGACCTGGAGGAAATACCTAACCTCAATCCAAAACTAGGTCAAGTCATCGTCACGAAGTGCGGAAAATTCTGAACATTTACCCTCATTGCGAAGCAATGGCACTTCGAAAAAGTAAACAACCGGATACTAAAACTCCGCCTGAAAAATCTCAAAACCGGCATGAAAAAATACAAAATCACTGAAATAAAAATGGCATCTCAGGGCGACGAAATAGACGACGATATCAGAATACGATACTTCCTAGAGAAAGAATTTCAATTCCACCCAGCTACTGTAACTCTATGCCATGGGGGAATCCGGATGCTTCCAGTAGCCCTAAGACCAGAAATCATTAAGGAATGCCATGCAACTCTTCCCGGACGACACAAAGGGATTGTGAAATCCTTCAACCGAGTAAGAGAAAGGTTCTACTGGCCCGGGATGAAACAGGAAATAGAGAGATTTATCAAACTCTGTCGAACCTTTCAACTAGAGAAGATTCGAAGAGTGAAATTCCGACAGTCCATGCTCATCACCGAAACACCTAGTGAATGCTTCGAGAGAATCTCTACTGACACCGTGGGCCCCCNCTGAAGATGCAGACTGCAATGTTTGCGAAACGTCGGCGCAATGCTGAAACTCAACGCGGCATCCATCCGGAAGCCAACCAAGTTATCCATAATAGCCTTTAGCGCAACTAATTGCTGGTGAAGAAATTACGGATTTACCCAGGGATCTACAAATACATCGAATAATTTATCAATAACAGATNACACTGCCATATCCTGACAATTCAGGATAACTTCTCCAAGCATTGCACCGATGTATCACTTAAGGACATTCGCACGGGCACTAGCCCCTCACCACACTCTCCTCACAAACCACCAAATAAAATGATAATTTCAAATTGAAATTATCCAGAAATTACAAAAATAATAAAATAAGTAAAATAAATAAATAGATAATCTAACATATAACAAAATAAAAAAACACGAGTGTTTACATACAAATGCAGCGAACCCAACAAAATTAAATCCCTGCATATGTAGCTACAAATCAAAAATAAAAAAAAAACAGAAAATAGACAATAAAATATCCACAAACNAAAAGGTAAGAGTATAAAACTTTGCGTCGTCCAATAATTATAAAATCTAATAATTTTAGGGGGGGTCTNAACAACGTAAATTTCCGTCACAATAAATAAAATCACTCACAACTACTCCAAATTCACCAAGCGAGTGAAGGAAACTGACAGGTGAATAGGAAAGACGGGGTAATCCGAACCCACAAAAATATCACCGTCAGCATCCAGCCGCTCACGGCCACCGCTCGGTGCACGATTATAAAGCTGAAATAACTCAATACATTACACATGAAAATTAAAAAAAACTCCAACTCCTCAAAATTGCTTTCAAATGCAATTGGAAACAATTTTGAGCGGGGGCTATAATGTCCGAAATTTTGTACCNCTAGAATAATTTCATGTGGAATCATTAAGAACCAAACCAACAATTGTAAACTAAATTGAGTGCATTTCATCACTTGAATTCGATTAAAAATTCCAAAGACATTGAATTTGAGTTCAAAAGTGATGAAATGGCACACTCAGCATGCCCCAATTACCCAATACTAAGATTCGCACGCGAAGGAACGATTAAAAACCGATTAGTTGAAACCCCAAAAACCGAATGAACTATTTCGCCATAAAAACCAAAAGAGTGGGAAAAGTCATACGACATTTTCCACCAATTAAAAATGGACTCGTTGGAGCCCATGTGACAAGTGACCCCAAAATTCATATAAAAATGTCAGAAAAACCCAAAATTAAGCAGTCTTGAAGCAGCGACGGAGCAGTAACAATTCTANTGCACGTGTGGCCGGGAGATATTCCACCAATAAAGTTACACCCTGTATATGGATGAAATCCTATATATGGTATTCTTCTCTAATTTTTAAATTTTCTTTAATTATGAAACAATATAGATATGGGAAACAGCCGATGTCTTTATGATTAATAAATAATAAGATTACACCATTCCCAAGAATGGAAATGAATGAATCCATGGAATTTGTGTTTATCAATATGGAAGATGAAGATCTTTTTTCTCTTCGATGATTTGTAGAAATTGAGAATTGTTAATCATTCTAATTATTTCCCCTGTTTGGCCGTTATCATAATTTGACCCTTAATAAGTGTTTCGCCCTTATGTGCTCGAGTTTGAACCTTACATACCTTATGATCGTTTGACCCTTAGCATCTGTTTTCACGTTTTCCTGTATGATTCATTCAACCCCTATGATCATTCGACCTTTTATAAAAGGCTTCAACCCTTACAAGTATAGGTTTGCTATTATCCTTATTAATCCTTATTAATGCTATTGACCCTTATGACCCTCGTGAACCTTGTGTTTGGCCCGTCAGATTATTGCATTTCGTTTCTCTACTAGACAGTGACCCTAATGAGGGTTTGATCTTTGGGATCGGTTGACTAGTCTTTCCTGTTTGACCCTTATCAATGCTCGGCGTCCGAAGTTTACCCAATTATTGGCTGACACTTGGGATTCGACGAATGCGCATTTGACGTTCAGCCAACAATTTGGCCGTGAAGGGGTCACCGAGACTTGGCATGCTAGTCCAAAGTCAATGTTTGGCCGTGAGTGGGTCGCCAAGACTCGGCATGCCGATTCTAGGCTGAGGCTTGGCCGATTCAACAGCATCGGCAATTTGGTCCCGGGACACGGGGCAAAACCGCGCGAGTGAGCGATTCTTCTTAGTTTTAAATATATTCCCTCTTATATTAAAAGTAATCCAATAACTCTTGAAGCCAAGCAGACTTAAATTTCACCGTGATCTCCCCTTAATATAATTAACGCCGATGCCGTTCGAGTTGGGAAAATTGAATGTAATTCATTAATTGCTGAAAAATTGACGTATACTACTATGCTCATTATTAGAATAGACACTTCCAATTCCAAGCATGCACTGAGAAAAAAAATTATTAAAAAATATCCATTTATGTGACAGAAATATTAATTCTTTCAATACGGTATTTCTCCAGTCGCGGCATTCTTCATTAGGTTTCAATTATGACAATTATATTGCTATAGAAGATGGTCATGTTAGTTATGACTTGAGTGAACTCCTTCAATAATTATCAACCTTAAAAAATCAATTGCAATTCTTCCCTCTAGAAAATAAGAAATTTAGGAAAAATGAATAATCATTAGAGGAATCCATTCAAGGTCATGTGCAACGTAGTCATTCTCTAGAGCAACATGATTGTTATAATTGAAACCCAATCTGGCTTGCCTGGAAATGACCCGATTGAAGAAATAGGGCTTCGAAAAAATAAATGCTTCTCTTAAGTAAATGAATATTTGGCACAAATCATTTCTTTTCTCAGTGTGTGTTCAGGAATTTTTAATTTTTGTTACACGGAGAGAGAAGTTTGATAAAAAAAGACTTGTGGATATCTTACGATTTTCTCGATAAAAAAACATCTGTGTGCGAAAATTATCCTCCTGTTGAATACAATTTCCCACGTCGGTAGAGTATTTTTTTGTACACATCTGAAGGTCATGGTGACTGATGGAATTGAATTTTTACCAAATGGGTTCTGTAAAAATCATTCGCGGTTACAGAAAAATTATCCGAAAAATTGGAGCAATCATTCACGTTCAATGGGAATTTTTGACGGGATGCAAAGTAAATTTTACAGTTTCAGTACAAATCACCCTCACGTTCAGTAAATTTTTCTGGGTCAACGGAATAAAATTCACTATTAATCTCCGACTTTTTCCTCTATCGAAGTTGAAAAAGTACTGTAAATCGTGTTTGCTCGTCGATTATTTGACTTGTACGGTAATTTTTCTCCAACTTTTTTCTCCGTGTATAATTCAACTGATAATTACAGATGTATGTTTCGATTAATTCATTCTACGATATATAATATTCCAGAAACTCAAGTATCCAAAGGCCGTCTTCTTCATTGTCAGTAATGAGTTCTGCGAAAGGTTCTCGTACTATGGAATGCGAAGTAAGGAATACAAAATGAAGAGTATTGGATAGTTCATATATGTATATAAATATCATTACCTTCAATGTTCAATTTTTTAGCTATTTTGGCGTTGTACCTGAAAAACAAATTGGATTATGGTGACAATACAGCTACTGTTATTTATCACATTTTTACGATGTTTGTGTACTTTTTTCCGTTATTTGGTGCAATGCTGGCAGATTCGGTCCTTGGAAAATTTAGGACTATATTTTACTTGAGTATTGTCTATGCTCTGGGTCAACTGCTCCTTTCAGCAAGTGCTGTTCCCACGTTTGGTTTACCAATCAGGTATTTTAGGATTTATAATATGATATTTTATATATATTATAGTACTCAAATGAATGATCGATATATATGTACAGTTTATCCATATAGATTATTCAACTTTCAGAGAATTTTCGATGATTGGATTACTTCTAATTGCTCTCGGTACAGGTGGCATAAAACCATGCGTAGCAGCCTTTGGTGGGGATCAATTCATTCTTCCACAACAAGAGAAACATCTTATCATGTTCTTTTCAGTTTTCTATTTTGCCATAAATTCTGGATCACTTATCTCAACATTCCTCACACCAGAACTCCGTAATAATGTAACATGTTTTGGAGATCAAGAATGCTTTTCAGTCGCGTTTCTTGTCCCTGCTATCCTCATGATTGTTTCAATTGGTACGTCAAAAGGAATTGTGACCATCTATAAATGGTAGTTATTTATACTTAATATTCCTGACCATTTGATGTAATACTGTGTTCGATCTGTTTTAGTTATATTTCTCAGTGGTAAATCGTTATACAGGTTGAAAAAACCAGAGGGAAATGTCGTCCTGGGGGTCGTTAAATGTATGTCGGTAAGTTCTGAAAATTGGCATGCAATGATATCGAAGAGTCTTTATTCATTTGGTGAAATTGTTGTTTCTTCCTTTTATAAGCGAGCAATATATAGAAAAATCAAAAGCAAGAAAGAGCTTAAGCGTGATCACTGGCTAGACTACGCTGATGATAAGTACGATACCACGTTAATTTCTGACATAAAAGCAGCTCTGCAAGTTTTGACACTCTTCATTCCCTTACCATTCTTCTGGGCCCTATTTGATCAGCAAGGATCGCGATGGACATTCCAAGCTACAAGAATGGACGGTCAAATTGGGAACTTTCTTCTGAAACCTGATCAAATGCAAGTCGTTAATCCACTCTTCATCGTCATCTTCATTCCAATATTTGAGACATGTCTTTACCCTCTAATGGCAAAGATTAGATGCACTGATACGCCATTAAAAAAACTAACCACTGGCGGAATTTTAGCTGCAGTTGCTTTCATCCTGTCTGCCCTTGTGGAATTAAATTTGGAGGTAGAGATGTTTGGTCAGATAATATTATGACTATTATGTAAAATATTAATATTGTTGTTATTATTACCCAGGCAAGTTATCCAGTTCTCCCAATGGACGGTACGGCACAATTGCGGATTTTTAATCCAAGAAATTGCACATTACCACTTGTAATAAATAATCAATCAATAATTATGAAACCGTTGGGTATTTGGGGAGATATTGATATCAGCCTAAAAGGGAATCAATCAATATCATACAGTGCTGATTTTTCACAATGTGGCGGGGCTAAAAATGCTTCGGGAATAATTACGGCTGTGGAAGGCCAAGCAACTTCATATGTATTAGAACCAGAACTCTCGTATGCCTACGAGGATCATAATAATAAAAGCACGAATGGGAATCCCGCAATTCGGGTACTAAGTTATAACACTTTGGGTCGAAATGCAGTGACAACAGTGGAGCTATCAAAAGTGAATTTTGTTTTTAAAACAAGCACAACAAGTGATGTAGCACAAATAACCCCGGTAGCCGACTTTAATCCTGGGGAATATGATGTCAAAGTAAATGGCAAAGATGTAGGGTCCATAGCGATCAAACTCGGTGGTGTTTATACTCTGCAGACATATGTCACTGCCAACAGTACGACGATAGGCCTCACTACCATCACTCCAGCCAATTCTGTTCATATCTTATGGCTCATTCCCCAGTATATCGTTATTACAATGGGTGAAGTTATGTTCTCAGTTACTGGGCTCGAATTTGCATTTACACAAGCCCCAGTAACAATGAAATCGCTACTTCAAGCTGCTTGGCTGATGACCGTGGCGTTTGGTAATCTCATCGTTGTCATTATTGCTGAAGCAAAGATATTTGACCGACAGGTAAGCGAAACACTCCTTTAATTTTTATCCATAATTAGGCAAAAAACTGATGCATCATTTCATCCAATAGGCATTGGAATTCTTCCTCTTCGCGGGTTTAATGGTCCTGGATATGTTGATATTCGCAATTATGGCTAATTCCTACAAATATAGAAGTTATAACGATGATGAAAATTCTGGTCAATCCGATGATGAAGACATATCATTGAAAGAAAAGAACGGCCACCTAAATGAATCTTTTTCAGCCAGCGAAGAAAACGTGAAATTATGAAGATTTTTCATGAAATTTCTTATAAATTTATTTGAGTATTTATATTCAGATACGTGTAATCACTTTTTTTATATCAAAGAGACCCAATATTTTTTATTGTACATAAATCAAGATTATTAAATATTAACTAGTTTTAGATTTTTCAGTATTTCAATCAAACTATATGACATATAATATTGTGCTCTTGTATATGCGAAGAACTAGACGGCGGACGCTGTCAAAAGTTAAGAAATCTAGAAACTACAGAAGGATAGTGGAGATTTCTCACCAGCAGAAAAAAAATATTCTCGCATCGGGTATATTATATTCCGCAATCCAGAATATTATTCCATCAGGTTATGGGCGATAGGGCAATTCACGGCAAAATCATCAGTGAATTGAAAAAGAGACGTGTTGGAGAATTCTCTTAAAAAAATTACCGACGTTGTGTAACAACCAAAATTTGAAGATGTCTGATAAAATCGAGAAGTGAGAAACTGAAGAGAAAAATCACATGAGTAATAGTGTTGCCTCAATACACGACAAAGCAAGAATTTCGTCTCCTCTTGTCTTGTCTTCGAATTATAGAGAAAATCATCGTCCTGTCTTGCCTTGGTTTGTTTTTACCCCTTGGTTTTCTTTCAAATATGATTGTTACTATCAAATAAGAAAATGAAATTATGTTCCTCAGTGAAAACTATCCCATTTCTTTGCTTCGAATTAATCCAAAACCATTACATAAGTCATGATTAATAATTGAACAACCTAGTGATGATCACCACCAGGGCTGGGTCGTTCACTGAAAATCGGAGTTTTCTACGGTACATAGTAGATTCTACTAAGTAGAATACTGGTAATTTACCTCTAAATGGTAAAAAAGGTAAATAACTGGTAGAAGGCAGTATTGACCGTGGCCAGAAAAAAGTTGGGTCAGAGCCTAAATGTCCACATCGACTTAAGCACACGCTTTTTCTCCACAAGAGGGCAGAGCACCGCTTAGAACTCCACACGCAGCAATGTGCGCGGTAACTTTGTCCACCTCTAGTTGTCCACGTAAAAGATTGACACATCACTAAAAGTACACATGCTTGATTGCCATGCAACGAAGGGATTCGTATTTTTCTTGATTGGACGTGTATGGCGAAAATATATAATTTAATCCGAATAATATGTATATGCACTGGCACTCCGGAAATTAGGTTAGAACTAAGAATGATGTGTATGTGTGTGAGGGACATCACTGAGGGACCAATAAGCTTCGCAGAAGACCATCACGAGGGCTGGGGAACGGGTTACAACGACCCGAGGTTTATAAAACAGCATAAAAGCATCACACCTTCACATTTCCACGTCCAAGTTATCCACACCTGTCAAAATCTTGTCAGGGGAGTGATTTGGATGCCGCGCTGGCCTGAATTATATCAATAGGGCGCACGTTACGGGGCCCACCCAACCTAATCCACGCGGCCAATCATCTACGCGGCGATTCTCACCTCTGGAAAGGCGTCATAGACCACCTGACACTAGTGTTGTATACTTGAGACAGTGATGCCAGATGAGGGGAAAAATCCCACGCGTGGGAATTTCGTGCGCAGCTCCCTCGCGCACTCCTCGGATCCCCGCCACTACCGCACAGGCTCAACGCCCGTAAATAATACCCGATAAATTAAATTCCGCGATGGAACTCTTAATTAATTAATTAAAACGAATGAAATTGATGGTATTATTATTTTTTTCAACATTTCAGTTATTAATAATATTTAAAAACAATGGAGAGCTCAGTTTACTGTTAAAAATTCTTTAAAAATTGAGCAAAAGGTTGATAAAAATATTGAAAGTGAATTTGAAATCGGTTTGGGATCAATTCGTCTATGAAATTGCTTATCCTATTGCGAAATTGCATTTTTCTATTCATTTTCAAAATTCTATTTTATTTTTTATTAGATTTTTTATTAGATTTCAGGGACTTTAAGATTTAATAAGAAAGTTTCGTAAGTTTTAATAGTGTTTAAGCATTTTCGTCGTTATAACGACCGGAAAAGTGCAATTCCATTAAATATTTTATAATTTTTGTCAATTTTCAATCCCACAATATTTATCATTTGTACATAGAAAAGGAAATATTCGAAATTTCAGAATTTATTCTCAGAAATACGTCATGAGGGTTAAAAGTTATGAAAGGGAGGATCAAATGCCGTAAGATCCACAAGGGTAAGGGTGAAACACTGCGAGGGTAACAACAGGAAAATCCAATTTCCCACAAATCGCGGGTGCAATCGTCTCCAGTACAAGAGAATACATTTTGCAAATATAACAAGATTCATTAGCTTTATTAAATTTTCCACGTTTATCATTTTGTGGCCCTGAAAAGGGCCGGTAGTTTCTGAAAAGAACCATTTCTGGGTTCTGAAAAGAACCATTTCTGATTCGCTATTTTTTATTTCCGAATTGGAATATCTCCCTAATTTTTGTCGAGAGAATTTCCGAAAAACAATCGATCGAGAGACTCGGGACAATTCCGCGAACTCATAAAACTCCCGCAGACCAATGAACATCGACTTTTGTTTTGACATCGACACAATATACTCACCCCTGTGTAAGAATCAAAACAGAAGTCAACTTAATCTCGTTCAGTCAGTCACGTAAAATTGGTGGTGAAACCTTCATAAGTGATTTATTTTTGACGAGTTTATCGAGTTTTCGTGATAAAGTTAAATTACGAGTTGATATGGAGATCACAGGAGAGCGGGACCAAAGCTCAGGACATGGAGTTTCCGGTATTCCAGTATCAAAGAAGAGGAAGGTATTTCAAGAATCCTGGAAAAAAGAGCCTGAATTTTCAAATTAGTTGGAGAGTGTTGAAGGTAAGCTAAATAGTGCATTTTGTAGTGCTTGTGCGAAAGTGATTGCTGCTGGAAAATCTGAACTTCACAAACACGCGAGTAGTGATAAACATAAAGAAAATATTTTAAAATCAATTTCAATTAACCGCGAGGAAGAAAATAGTGATGAAGGTAATGTTCTTGAAAAGGATTCGAGTAGTGTTGGGCTAGATCATCAAGAATCGGTTAAAACCGCGGAAATCCTTATTGCTAATTTCATTGCTGAACACAACGTTCCCATTTCTATTGTAGATCATCTCATCCCTGTTTGCAAAAGAGCATTTCATGATAGTCAAATCGTGAAAGATAGTTCTCTCGGGCGTACAAAGTGCACAAGTATTATTGAAAATGTTTTGGCGAAGGTCGCGAGTGTCAATCTAATAGATA